TATCTATGAAAGGACCAGGACATGGGGTGTGAGGGAGGATGGGGCAGAGCTAAATTTCCATACATCACTGCAACAACCTAGAGACACACCAGTGGGTTTTCTTGGTCCATGTACTCCAGGCATACCCCGAGAGGAAGAACTTCAGGTCCCCAAGGGCTGCTGTTTTTCTGGTCCCTTTGCTATGCACCACATTAGCAGCAAATATGCGAGTCCGTTGTGACAAGAATCTTCCTGCTGGGCAGATATTGAGCCTTCTCTTTAATTGCGTGTTTTGGGGAGGAAGGCAGGGGGATGAGGCGGGTAGGTGGGGAGCAGAGGAAGGAAAGGGGTGATGTCAAAAGAGTTGCTCAATTTACTGGCCTCTCTGTAAATCAACCTGAAGCAGAAATTCTTCCTCTGGACTTTCCCTCCACCTGAATAGAAAGGGGGGAGGGAGGGAATTGGGAGATTAGGAGGACATCTATGCAAACGTCAGGCTTTGAGTTGCTGTTGCTTAAACTTGGAGGAAGATGACTCCATTTAGAAGGGACCAGCATCAACCCTCCCTTGCTCCCAATCTGTTGGCTGATAGGAGCTAGCTTTTCAACAGCCATCTCTCATGTGGCCTTTCAGGGTCTCACGTTTTCACTGCTTTTCTGTGATCCTTGTGAAACATGGGATTGTCCCTTCTTACCCTGGAAAGCATTCTTTGCAAAGTCATTTCAGGGCACATATAACAACTGGAAACAAAACTACTGGGTTTTAAAACCTTTTTATAAAGATGAACGCTTTTTGGGAGCAGTCAGGAAGTAGACTGAAACTTTGCTTAGACCACAGGCACATAGTTTGAACACCTCCACCCGTAAGGGCCCTGAGTGCACTCATGGGCATTAATGGCTTTGACCAGCCTTACCTGCAGCTTCTGTCCATACTCTCTGCCTTTCGGCCTGGGAGTCTCATTACAGCTCCCGAATTTCCAGTCTCTACCTGTCCAGGGACCTGTCCTGTCCATGGAGCTTACTATCTGGACTCCAATCCTTGGACTGTTTTCGTATGTGGATGTTGTATCTGTTTATTATTCTCACTATAGACCTGCCTGCCTGTGTCTGACCCTGCTTATCTTCACCAGACCTAATCCTGATCTTAACCTGCAGACTGACTCTCTAGTGTGGCCTTGTGCCTGCCTCATTGCCACAAACTTGCCTAATCATCCAGACTTTTGGTTGTCCAAGACTGCCTTGGTCACCCTGCCTCAGGTGCTGGGGCCAGGCCCTGCAGCCAGGGCCGCTGCATTGCTACCTGTTAACACACTCAGCTCCTGGCTTCCCACCCTGCAGGGAGCAGCCAGACCTTGCTGCCCCCGACACTGGCCAGCACTGTGTAGGAACTTGGCTGTGATGGTGCCAGCTTTACCTGTGCTGCAGAAGGGACTCCTGCTTGTTGACTGCTGTCAGTAGGGATGGTTAGCATCCTTGGGTCGTTTTAACTGGACCTTCAAACGTTTCATGCCAATCTGGAAGCCATTCATGGCCTGGATAGCAGTCTGTGCACTGGATGGATTGTCAAAGCTTACAAAACCTGAAGGACAGGACACAGGCATGGATAATGACAGCACTTCTCGGTGCCATGCCCAATGCATGAGTGTCCTTGGTATCCATCATGCTTCCCTTGCCCACTGGCATCGGCACTCACCAAAACACTTGCTCTGGTTGGTGGCACGATCCATGAATACCTTGGAGGAAATAATATTGCCAAAGGGCAGGAACATCTGCATCAACTCATTGTCTCCAAACTCCTGAGGGAGATGGTAGATGAAGAGATTGCAGCCTTCAGGACCTGCAGGCATGGGGGCAATGGGAAGGGACAAAACGGAGAGCCCCCAAAGGGAAGGGGAAGAGAAATGGGCTCAACTCAGAGCACAGCACTGGAGAACACCAGCACTGCCTCCTGCTGCCTTGACCTCCCCTTGCTTCTCTCTGTCACTGGTCCATGAAGGGTTCTGAGGGCTAAGAGCAGCTGGGAGGCAATATGCAGAGCTAGAGTTTCTGGAGAGCAGAATCACTTTCACAGCTTGCCCAGTTCCCACATGGGATGCTGGATACAACTCTGTGAGTGTCTGGGGTGTTGTTTTGCTGGAAGGAAATTAGCTGAGGTGACAGCTCCTTGTTCCTGGCTCTCCCAGTCCTAGGAGAACAGCAGACACTGCGATGTGAAAGCTGCCGTCCTAGTGCTTCCTGTCCACAGCCCTGCAATGGTTGCCTTCAGCCCATAAGCCATGGCCCCAGCTGGAAATCTGGATTGCCACATCTCCGACAGATGGGCTGACTAGTTCCTCCCCACTCCTTCACTATCTCTCTGTGAGCCTGATGAGCACGAGGAGCTGTTCCCTTGCTGACACCTGCTGTACAAAGCAAGAACAGACAGAAGGATGCCTTTGCCTCCAAATTCTGTCCAGGCCAGTTTTGAAATAACCTCATGAGGCTAGGAAGGCTGAAGAGAAAGGACAGTACATTAGAGAGGTTGACTTAACTGGTACCAGTGTGGTTCTGGCATCAGTAAAGATGGGGAGGAAGTGCTCTCTTCCCCTGCCTGCGTAGGGAAGGTGCTGACTCTAGTCCCTTTGGTGTCAAAGCTTGGTGTTTTAGTGCTTGCCGTCTCCTTTGTATTTGGCAGCACCTGGCCAGGGATGAGCTCAGAAAGTTTGCATGAAAGGTATCCTCTGAACCCTTCCAGTTCACTCGCTGCAGTGCCATGATTGGTTCTGTAACCCAGCTCCAATATTAAAGATTAGAGGGGACAAAGATTACTGCTGTCTCCTTTAAATGGGGCCTATGATGCAGAAGATAAGCTACACAAATCCCCCCTGCCCCCATCCCCAATGGACAGACACACATTTCCACCCTGAGCCTCACCTTCTCGTTGCTGCTGCAGGATGGGAGGTGGCTGAGGAATGCTCTGAGCAATGGGGGTGATGGTGGTGGTTGGATACACAGCTGTACTCCAAGGGGACAGAACAAACTGTTTACCTGAGGATCTAATCAGCCACACAAGGGCCTGAGGGAGACAAGGGAAGCTGGTACCTGCATACTGCTGGACTCCTGTGAAGGCTGGGTGCAAAGTCTCTGCTACTGAAGGGCTCTGGGCTGCAGAGAAGAGCATAATCAGAAGCACAGCAAAGGGAATCACTCCTGCGTTCTCACCATCCCTCTCCCCCACCCCTCTTGCCAAGTACGGCTCAGTGCCTGGCTCGTAAGGAGCTGGAAAAAGTGATGGGTAGGGAATCCAGAAAAGAGAAGCTAACTGCAGTTCCTGATGGTGTTGCAATTTTTTCTCCCCTCTGCTCCATACCTGAGTATGGCACAAGGCCATTGGTGTAAACTGTTTCCAAGGTTGGATGCCCATTTGGGAACGGTACCACTCCAGTGAATCCATTTGAAATGGGTGCCACCAGTCCTGGCACGGCTGCTGTCCCCAGGAGAGGCGGTGAATGTAGTCCTGTAGAGCAGGAAGAAAGGACATCCCATGAGAGTCAAAGTCCTGCAAAGCCCACACTCCCTCCTCCCATCTGCCTGGCAAGACTGTTGTGAATGAAGCTTTTATCAATTCTAGCTGACATGTGGAGGTGATAGATTAGTGATGGAGCTTTCAGAAAATTAGAGGCAACACTGCTGAGAAGAGCATGTACAGCATTGCTAGTCCTGGCTGCTGTCAGAGCTATTTTAATTCAAGTTTGTACAGCACCTAGCATGACACAGCCCTGTTCCTGGCAGGTGCTTAAACCCAGTATGCATTATTATTACTGTGGGATGATGATAATGAATAACAGGACTGCTGTACTCAGAGTGAAATGCAATCCTGGGAACCCAGTCCTTCTTTACTATATCAAAGGGAAAAACTGCAGCAAAGAGGAACAGTGGTAGGACAAAAGAATGTGCATTGAATGTGAGGGTGTTGAAGAAGTTGCAGAAATTTGCGCACAGCTAGAAACTGCTGTCTTCAGAGGCTGCAGTGTTAGAAAAGAGTGGCCTAATCCAGATTCTGAGCCCAGAGAGATGTGGGAACTGTTTTACCTGTATGAGCACCGTGCTGAGTGCTGGGGCAGGAGGTTCATTGGTAGTGAAGGACTTGCTGCGTGCTGGCCCACACCAGGCCCTCACCTGACGTTGGTGCAATAGGAGCGGCTGGCAGCCCGTTGAGACTGACGGCACCGATCTGTTGGATGTGGCAAGGGGAAAAGGCGATGCCTGGGCTCAAGTAGCTGCCGTGGGAGGTGGAGAGAACTGTCGTCTGCTGCTGCATCAGCTGCAAGGCAGGACCGTAAAGTCAGGGCCCCACACTGCCCAGGCCTTTGTGCCACTTCAGGCCTGGAACCGCCTGGGGTCTAGCTCCACTCTGGGCAGCCCAGAGCTCAGAGGCTCACTCTACTCCG